TAGTAGAGTATTACACTAGGGGCAAGCATATGGTATGTCATCTGTTGCACATGAATTTCCATTCTGAGAGTGAGTTAGTTCTTCCTATTTTGAGTTCCTAAATATTTGTGAATAATATGCTGAGAGGAACTAGTCTATATTAATTGTGGGAGGTCACATGATTTGTGAAAGCAAGGAAACGTTTTGACCTTTGTGTTAGAGTAAGTGAGCAAGTTATGAAAATGCGTGGCACTTGTGAGTCATGTCTTGAGGTTGAACTATTATGAATTGGTACTTAAGTATCGGCATGTGTTGTTAGAGAAATTGTTTGATAAAAAGGTCATCCTTATGTGAAATGTAGGTCAATTGCTCGAGGACGAGGAATGGTCTAAGTGTGGGGTGTTGATCATAGGCTTAAAACTCGTGTTTTAGTTATTGTAACAACACTTTAATTATTGCATTTTACAAAGGTTTGAGCTTAAATAATAATGAATTGTATTAAATTCATGCTTTATGCCTTGCAGGAAGCTAATTCGACTTAAGAAATAAATTTGGGATGAATTTGACTGATTTTGGGCTTTGAAGTCTGAGTAAAAGCTAAATAAATCAAGTCGACATCGTGTTCGGGGGTCGCAAAGAAGGCCCGGATAGCAAAACAAATGAAAAAATGCAACAACACAAAATATTGCACTGCCGCACCGCGGGGTGCCGCAGCAGTGCAAATATTTTCGCTGCATTGTTTTGCTCCGTTAAAATGCATTCTACCTCTGTCCAATCCATGTATGCATCGCACGGGGCGCCGCGGAGCGCGCCGCAGGTGTGTAAAAATCACAAAATTATTCTATTTCGGACTAAAAAGGGCATACTTGTCAAAACCCCTTCCTACACGATTAAAAAGGCAAAAACAGTGCCATTATTGGGGGAGACCTGTTTTTGGAGAGAAAAAGAAGAAGGAGATTCATCTTGAAGAAGAGAATCAAGGAGGAACATCAACATGGAGCAAGGATTAAAAGTGTTTTTCTAAACCTTCTCCTAGTATTTACTCATATTATGTTTAAGATTTTTATTGTTGATGTTTGTATAATTATGAGTGGCTAAAAACTCAAATATTCTGGGGTTATGGGTATTAGATGATTATGTTGTTTGAAGCTTAAATTGATGATCTTGAAATTATCGTTAAAGGTTGTTTATTTGATTCTGCTGTTAATTATTTTACTGCGTAGCTAACAGTGAAATATTATTTACGAATCTTGAGTTAAACTTGAAAAAGGAAATTCTTGATTGCATATAAAATTAAATAGAGCAAGATCTGGATCCTGGGCATCGGGTGAAATATTCGCGATTAAGATAGAACTATACTTAATTGCATTGTTTGGTTGAGAAATAGGATTTGTAAATTCATTTGAGTTAATATTAATACCATAGAAATATAGATATTAATTTAACTTGAATAGGCGCATAAGAAATCGACAAATTCTTATGGGTATTATTAACCCTATAATCAATAACCCAAATAATTCAATAAATTATTTTTAAGCTAAAAACGTAGGATGATCTCTAGCAAGCCCATAACCCCGGGATATCTCTTTTATTAATTGTTAAAAGAAAAATTCATAAGTGGCGTAGTAACTTTGCATTGTATTATTGTTTGTCTACTAGTTAAATTGTAAATTGGTTATTTGTGTATTTTGTAATGAATTAGCTTGAATCGATGATTGTTTGAGTTTGCATCAGTCTATAAGTTGATCACAAGTCCTCGTGGGAATGATACTTTACTTATTACTATATTACTTGAAGATCGCGTACACTTGCGTCATTGTTTTGGTCACAATAGTTGTGCAGGGATTGCAAGGTTATCTCGGGTGAGACCCTCGCAACCCAACATAGGCTCTTGGTAATGGACGTTGGTATTACGATAAGGAGGAAGAAGAGGTATGCTCGTGGTCAACCGAGGATTAGGTGGAGAGACTTAACTAAGGATAAAGCCCAGGAGTTGGAGGGGAGGTTATCGGCTATGGGAGCATGGAGGAGTAGTGAGGACGCCAGAGCTATGTGGGCTACGATGGCGAACTGAGTTAGGGAGGTGGCAAGAGAGGTGCTAGGGATTTCGAAGGGTCACTCTGGAAGGCACCAAGGCGACTGGTGATGGAATGACATAGTCTAAGGCAAAGTGGAGGCAAAGAAGGAAGCGTATATGAAGTTGGTAGGGAGCACATGCGAGGAGGAGAGAAGAGCGAATAAAGAGGGGTACAAGGTAGCAAGAAAGGAGGCTAAGCTAGCAGTCACGGAGGCTAAGAATGCAATATTTGGCCGACTGTATGAGGAATTGGGGGAAAAAAGGCGGGGATAAGAAGTTGTTTCGATTGGCTAAAGCGAGGGAGAGGAAGGCTCAGGATTTGGATCAAGTGAGGTGCATCAAAGACGAGGAAGGTAGAGTCTTGATGGGGGAGTCCCAGATTAAACAGAGATGGAAGATGTACTTTTAGGGCCTTCTAAATGAGGAAGGGGACAGTGATATAGTGCTAGGGGATCTGGGGCATTCAGAGAGTCTCCGAGACTTTGGGTATTGTAGGCGTATTAAGTTGGAGGAGGTCGTGGGGGCTGTGCGTAAGATGAGTCGGGGCAGAGCGACCGAGCCAGATGAAATTCCGGTTGAGTTCTGGAAGTATATGGGTAGAGCAGGCTTCAAGTGGTTGACTAGGCTATTTAATGTTATTTTTAGGACGAAGAGGATGCCAGATGAGTGGAGGTGGAGTACAATGGTTCCATTGTACAAGAACAAAGGTGATATTCAGTGTTGTAACAACTATAGGTGTATCAAGTTACTAAGTCATACCATGAAAGTTTGGGAGAGGGTGGTGGAGGCGAGGGTGAAGAAGATAATGTCTATATCTGACAACCAGTTCGGGTTCATGCTGGGATGTTCGACCACTGAAGCTATCCATCTTATTAGGAGGTTGGTGGAATAGTACAGGGATAGGAAGAAAGATCTGTACATGGTGTTTATTGACTTGGAGAAAGCATATGACAAGGTCCCTAGGGAGGTGCTATGGAGGTGTCTGGAGGCAAACGGTGTGCCGGTAGCTTATGTTAGAGCGATCAAGGACATGTATGATGGATCTAAGACTAGGGTAAGGACTGTGAGTGGCGACTCGGAGTATTTCCCGGTTGTTATGGGGTTACACTAAGGATCAGCGCTTAGCCCGTTCTTATTTGCCTTAGTAATGGATGCAATAACACACCATATTCAAGGAGAATTGGCATGGTGTATGTTATTCACTAATGACATAGTACTGATTGATGAGATGCGGGACGATGTTAATGAGAGGTTGGAGGTTTGGAGACAGGCTCTCGAGTCTAAGGGTTTCAAATTGAACAGGACTAAGACAGAGTACCTAGAGTGCAAGTTCAACGTCGAGTCGAGGGAAGTAGGCATGGATATGAGGCTTGGATCACAGGTCATCCCCAAGAGAGGTAGTTTCAAGTACCTTGGGTCAGTTATTCAAGGGGATGGAGAGATTGACGAGGACGTCACTCACCGCATAGGAGTGGGGTGGATGAAATGAAAACTAGCATCTGGAGTCTTATGTGACAAAAAAGTGCCATCGATACTCAAAGGTAAGTTTTATATGGCGGTGGTTAGACCGACCATGTTGTATGGGGCAGAGTGCTGGTCAGTTAAGAACTCTCATATCCAGAAGATGAAGGTAGCTGAGATGAGGATGTTGAGGTGGATGTGCGGGCACACTAGGATAGATAAGATTAGGAATGACGATATTTGGGAGAAGGTGGGTGTGGCCTCTGTGGAAGACAAGATGCGGGAAGCGAGGCTTAGATGGTTCGGGCACGTGCAGAGGAGAAGCCTGGATGCTCCGATGAGGAGGTGTGAGTTGCTGGCTTTAGTGGGTTCGAGAAGAGGTAGAGGACGGCCTAAGAAGTATTGGAGAGAGGTGATCAGGAAGGACCTGACACGATTGCAGATTTCCGAGGACATGGCCCTTGATAGGGAGGTTTGGAGGTCGAGCATTAGGGTTGTAGGATAGGGTGGGAGTCGAGCTTCTCCTCCTCCATTCCGGGGGTGAAGCGAGTTTGAGTAGGTTGGTCCTAGACAGGCTTGTGGTTAATGTAGAGTTCACACTAACCTTACTGTTTTCCATAGCTCTAGACCTTAATTGTGGGTTATGGTTATTGCATGTCATCTATTTTATGGTTTTTAGGATGTTGTCATTATTTTTATGGTGTATGTTGACGTTACTGATGAATTGTCTTTTCTTGTTTTCTTGTTTTATTTGTATCTTCCTGAGTCGAGGGTCTATCGGAAACAGCCTCTCTGCCCTATTGGGGTAGGGGTAAGGTCTGCGTACACACTACCCTCCCCAAACCCTACTTAGTGGGACTTTACTGGGTCATTGTTATTGTTGTAGACTCAAAAAATAAATTTTTGATTTTGTAGAATGTCTAAAAAAAATCCTTATTTGTTTGGTTGCATTTTTAGCTTAATTGCATTATTAGGAGCATTATAAAATCATAGGAAAACTACCAAAAATGTTTTTGATTTCATGTTTTGCATTCCAATCGCATTTTAGGAATTAAATACATTTCAAGTGCATTTATCTAATGATATATATATATATATATATATATATACTTTAATTACTTTTCATTTTTTCTCTTTTAGTAATTTTAGTTTTGATTTAATTAAGTGTGTGTTAGTTTAGTTAGTTAATCGTTTGATCAATTAGAAATTCGGGTGGTTAAATTAATTGTGAAAAAGTTAATTCAAATTAGAGTATTAATAAATTGGTAAAATGAGAATTAAACAAAGGTGTGGGTTTTAAGTCTTATAAATGGTTGGACCAAAGAATTGGCAGCCCACAAAGATCCGCCCCAACCCAAGCCCTATATCTTGTCCATAATCTCCATTAAACTAAACGATGCCGTTTCATGTTCGTTTAATCTCCATAATCCATTAATCCAATCCTACGGTTGAGAACTAAAGTCCCAAACTTCTTAAAACTGTCTAAGACTCATTTCCCTTACTCCCAATTACTTTACCAATCTCTCTCCTCACCCTTTCTCAACCTCAGCCTTAGACTGCCGCCGGAAATCATCCATGGCGGCGGCCCATCGCCAAACAGCCCTAAAATATCACCCCATAATCCCAAGCTTCCTCTTATCACTATTCTATCGTTAATTTTCCTCAATTTCCATTAGAACTCCATGAATTACAGATCTCAGAAGGTCGAAAAACCCTAAGTTTGTCCTTTTCTATTTCCCTTCAATCTCGGCCTGTTTGAACCCAAGATAGATCAATCAATTGCTTTTGATGAGAGAAATCAATTGATGTTAGTCTTAGTTCATATCACAGCCATCGGAGTCTGTTCGAGTCTTCTACTTGGCCATTTAGTCCTTGTTGGTGTTTACTTATTAGGTATATCTCCCTCCCTTTCGTTTTAATTGCCTGTTTAATTGCATATAGTCATACAGTTTAGTTAAGCTAAGTCAGTCATGTGATTTGATTTAGGTTACTCCTTTCCTGTTCATTCACTTTGGTTAAGTAATGAATATTGATCTGTCGTTAAATTACTAATTAATGATTTACTGCTTAATTGGCTATCAGAGTTGTTATTTGCTTATTTGGATTTGAGTTAATTATAATTTGAAGTAGGTTTTAGGATTTGTTTGGATCATTGTTTGATTGTTTGTTGAGTTCATTCGAACATATACACTATTTTTCGTTTGGCTTTAATTTAGAAATGGGCTAGATTTTTGTGTAACTAGTGTAGGTCCATCAATTTGAAAGATTGGGATAATGGGGATTGAGAATTCTCGTGGAGTCTGTACACTTTGACCTAGGGTCACATGACCCCAGGTCCATAAAATTAGGTCCTTAGGTAAATATTCAGAGTTTCAAGGGGTATTTAGGGGTTTAAATCAAAAGAATTTCACATAATTGGTTGGAAGGTTCTAGAAGAGTGTGGAAGGGGTTAAAACAATATTAAAATGATGAAGAAAAGAGTTAGGTCATGGGATTTGGGGTGTAAAAAGGAAATGCGAAAGAGTAAAGGGGCTGGAAAAGTAGGAAAAGAATAGATGACGGACAGATGTCCAAATCTGTTAATAAAAGATGCTGAAAATGAGAAGACTATTTGAAAATGGACAGCTATCCAAATTTATTGAAAAAGGATGCTTTTCTCCTTATTTTTAGGGCTGACATTCCTAGATACTTCCCTAAATTTTTGTGTGTGTATCTAACGCCCCTACACTCTATAAGAGACCACATATTTTTCCTCTCTCACACACACACTAATTCTCTGCATTGCTCTCAAAGAAAACACTCTGAAAAAATTCATCCTCTGCATTGCTCTCAAAGAAAACACTCTGAAAAAATTCAGTATAAATATAGGAAAAAACCAAAAAAAAGGAAAAAAAAAATTATTCAAGGCTGTTTTTCTAAGTCCTACTCTGTTACTGCAAATTCTGGATTTTATAGCTTTTGGAGTTAATGAAAATTCATTGTATTGCAGCTGTTCTGAGTTCTGCTGGATTTCTTCATTTTCTCTTAGCCTTTATTTGGCTTTTAGTTGATTCACCATGTTGTTTAGGTATTTTCTCATGATTCTGTACAATGATTTTTATTTCAAAGGAATGTTTGTTTATTTCTTGTTGGCCTGTTGTTGTGTTCTCAGCATATTTGCTCAAATCTATGAAATGACTAGTTGATTTCTTGCTATTGAATTCTTCTGTTATGCAGATCTGGTCTGATTGTGATGATATATTTGTGTGTTTCAGTCTTATAGGTCTAGCATGCTAGCTATAAAATGCTGCTTAGTTTGTTTTTCTTGGGTTGACCTTTGTATTGTCGGTTCACCACTGATGTTGATCTACCTTCTCAAATAACGACATTTTTTTAAATGAGATTACTAATAATAGCTGAATTAAGCCTAATATGCTGTCTATCTATTGAATTACTAGAATAGCCAAACTGATTTACGAAGAGTAACCCAATGGCTATGTCTTTGTAAATTTGGAAGTAGCTTAAAGAGAGTAAAAATGGTACGGGGCGCCCTATTTAGTCGCCCCCATTTAACCTATTCCCATTTTTTTAAAACGTTTTAACTTGTACTCACTTTTTAAAAAAGTTCAGCCCCCTTTCTCCTCCTCTTCCTTCTGCTGCTGTTGGTGCTGCTATGAAACTTCAGTTCATAGAGATAAACTTTCTGCTGAAAATTAACGTTTGATGCTTATGTACTTTGACCAACCTAATAACTTCCAAACAAATAAATACAGAAAGCTAGCCACAATTCATCTTTGTAGTGAGCTCATTGTCTTCAAGCACCTTCAATACAGAATGCTAAGGGATGATAGCAAGAGAAAACAACATAATGGACCTCGCAAAAGAAGAAACTCCTTTGTAGTTTACACCCTTTCCAACTCAATGTTGTGTTTGTCTAATTGGTCCTTCAACTCCTTCCTCCAATTTTGAATCAGTCTCTTCTACTTGGTTATAAGCTTAGTATTTGTTTTCAACTCTTCTTCCATTTTTGCAATCTCCTATTCTTAACTTTTGGTTATAAGCAACAAACGTTAAGAATGTTGAAGTTCAACAATATAAACAAAAACTTCAACTTCTAGAATGCTGAAGTTCAGCAAAAACAAAATAAATTTCACCCCTAAAGTTTATCACAAACATAACAAAGCTTCAGCTAAAATATGCTGAAGTTTAGCAAATATAGAACAAAACTTCAGCTAAAACATGCTGAAGTTCAGCAAATAGAGAACAAAACTTCAGCTAATAGAATGCTTAAGTTCAACAATTACAAATAAAAACTTAAGCAAATAGAGAATAAAACTTCAGCTACTAGAATGCTTAAGTTCAGCAATTACAAACAAAAACTTCAGCCAACACTTGGTTCAACAATTTTTGCTACTTCAGGCCCGTCTACTAGAATGCTGAAGTTTGCGTGATTGCCTTTGCTACTTCAGGCCTGTATGTCTGAAGTCACGCAAAAAGTGGATACGCTTGCAATTTTTTTCGCAAAGCGGGTATAAGTTAAAACGTGACCCAAAAAACGGGTATAGATGCAAATGTCCCTTAAAGAGAGGAGACCACACTAGAAACATATTTCATCAAGGAAGTTCATAGAATGAAATCTTAGAATTAATTAGATATTATTTCTGTATAACGTAGGGCATTGTATTAATTTTGTTATATCTTCAGATTTTATTGCAATCAGCGCATGAATATAGCTCCTTTTGATTCGTTAAAGATAGATTCCAAACTGATCTTGTAAACACATGTTTAACTTCTCGTAATTGTTGTCATGTTGTATATTGGGCCAGAGCCTCTGTTTCATTCCTTATAATGATTTGTCATCTGTCTTGGGCCTGGCTACACTCAGGTCCGCATCTATAGACTATGTCAATTTGTTTATTTAAGCTTAAATATTGGGGTTCGTCTAATGGGCTATTCAAAGCAGAGTTGCTAGGCCCAGTTATTGACAAATAAGGCCCAAGATGAACCCGCCTTTTAATTTTTTAGTTGCTAAATATTAGGAATCAGGACTTCGATTAAGCCCCAATTCGTAGGTTTTAACCATAACGATACTGCTTTGAAGATTGAATGGTTTTATTTGTCCCCAGTCAAGTTAGTAGCTCCTAATAACAAACCAAGGTAGCTTCTCGAACGCCTAATTGGTTGGTTTTCCCTATTAGTTTGATCAAAGTTATAAAGGGATTTAAACAAAGTAAGAAAATTCGAGTCTGCGTTAAATTAATCCAGTAGGGAAACACCAAAGCTGCATTTGATCCTTTGAAATAGATAAATATTCCCCAATGTAAGCTTCCATAATTCTTGGGCTTGTGCAATAATCTCAAACTAGTTTTAGGAAAAATAATTCATAAATATCGTAGTTGTGACGACCGACCAGTCGTCTCATGAGTTACTACTCCATTTCCCCCATTTTTGCTTCTTATTGCTTTGTCTAATGGTTCTATATGTGATCGGGTTGATTGGTTCGGGTTCGGAAAGGATTTGGTAAGGTTTGAGACACTTAGTCTTTTTTGAGGAAGCTTAAGTTGGAAAAGTCAACCGGATGTTGACTTATGTGTTAAAGGGCTCGGATGTGAGTTCCGTTGGTTCGGTTAGCTTTGGGAGGTTATTTGGGACTTAGGAGCGTGATCGGAATGAGTTTTGGAGGTCCGGAGTGGATTTAGGTTTGAATTGGCGAAATTGGATTTTTGGCGATTTCCGGTTGATAGGTGAGATTTTGATATAGGGATCGGAATGGAATTCCGAGAGTTGCAGTAGTTCCGTTGTGTCATTTGGGATGTGCGTGTAAAATTTCAGGTCATTCGAACGTGGTTTGGTTGGGTTTTTGATAAAAAGCGTAATTTAGAAGATTTTGGTAAACTTAGGCTTGAATCCGATGAGTTTGGTTGATTCAGTGTTGTTTGAGGTATTTTGAAGATTGGTATAAGTTTGAACAAGGTTTTGGGTTATGTTGGTGCTTTTTGTTGAGGTCCCGGGGGCCTCGGGGTGATTTCGGATGGTTGTCGGAGAGTTTGGGAAATTTGAGAAGCTGCAGATTTTTCTGTTATGATATTTCCGCACCTGCGGATTGGGGATCGCAGGTGCGATGACGCAGATGCAAGGAAAGGACCGCAGAAGCAGTCAAGGAGGAGAAGGGCAAGAGCCGCATATGCGGTTGGCTGAATGCACCTGCGATAGCGCAGGTGTGGCTACTTGGTCGCAGATGCAGTTTTGGACCATTAAGTGAAAACCGTAGAAACGGCTAATTGACCGCAAATGCGGTACCGCAGATGCGGTATCTGGGCCGCAGGTGCGGAATCCCTGGGCCAGAAGGTATATATTGTTTTCTTCGTGAAATTTTGCTAAGTTCTCCATTTTTGAAGACGGGAAAGAGGCTAAGGCAATGGATTTCAAGAGAAATCAAGGGATATCAATTGGGTAAGTTCCCTAAGCTTCATTATTTGAGTTTATGATCATTTTTTCATTGTTTAATCATGGTATTAGTGGAGATTAAGGAAGAAAATTAGGGATTAGGGCTTGAGATTAAAAGACTTTAAAACGAGAATTTGAGAGGTCATTTGGACTCGGATTTCAGTATTCTTGGTATGTATGAACTCGTGGAAGGATAAGGATTCCCTTGATACAATTTTATCGAGTTTCAAGCCGTGGGCCCGGGGGTCGGGGTTTGGCCAATTTCGGGATTTTTTGTATAATTTGATTATTTTCGCTTGGGCCTCATTCCCTTAGCATATTCTGACGCCGTGATTCTGATTTTGGATAGATTCGACGCGAGTGGAGGCCGACTTGAGGGGAAAAGGCATCGCGTAGTAGTATTTCACCGGTTTGAGGTAAGTAACCATTGTAAATCTGGAACTGAGGGTACAAAACCCCGGTATTTGACTTGTTTTGATAAATGTGATGACGCACATGCTAGGTGACGTGCGTGTGGGGGTGCACCGGTAGGGATTGTGACTTGGTCCATCCCGTAGCGACTATTAAGCCACGTATTTGATCAGAAACCTTATGATATTCCGTACTTAGTCATTTATACTATTTTGTGGGCTGTATGCCATGTTTGGGCCTTGTGCCGACCTGTTGAGACCTTTAGGGGCATTTTTACTGTTTTTTTTCCTTTATCTACTTGTTTGAAAGCATATCCTCAGTCATGTTTTACCTATTTATTGTTTAAAACTAATTTTATCACTCTACTTCTTAAATGTGAGGACTGTTTGGACTGAGTTCCCTAATTTCTACTGTTGTGCCTGAGAGGCTGTGAGGTTAATGACTGAGAGAGGTTGAGAACCTAATGGTGAGGATATTTATATATGTATGAATTATTGATCGGGCTGCACGCCACAACAGTACTTATATGGATCGGGCTGCACGCCGCAGCGATATATATATTGGATCGGACTGTGCGCCGTAGAGATATGACGCTTGGGCTATAGGAGCCCCTCCGGAGTCTGTACACCTCTAGTGAGCGTAGTCGAATATAAAGTATGGATCGGGTTGCACGCCACAACGGTTATATGATGATTATTATTATGAGGTATTAATGAGCCTGAGTGCTGAGAGTGAGTACCGAGTGATTGAGAAGTTGCCCGAGAGGCCATATTCTGAGTGATATCATGCCCGAGAGGCCCGGTTATGATAATTTCACTGATTTCACTCTTCTTTTAAAATAAGCCTCTGTTGAGAAATTGCTCAGTATATGATTTCAAGTATTTAAACTGAAATTGATGATTTTTATGACAGAACTGGTTTTAAACAGTGGAGTTTGATCTGTTATCCTGTTGTTTATTTATTTATATGATTTTTAACTGCTTGTCACTACTTTCAGACCTTATTTACTTTTGTTACTTACTGAGTTAGCGTACTCACATTATTCCCTGCACCTTGTGTGCAGATCCAGGTGCCCGAGCGGCAGAGTGAGGATCCTCAGCTTATTAAGAGTTTGCCGGAGATTGCGAGGTAGCTACATGACGTCCGCAACCCTGCTTTTCTCCTTCCTATCTTGTTATTTTCCGTATTTTTAGACTTACGATGCATTAGACAGTTGGCTGTGTATTAGAGGCTCTAAACTCGTGAAACCATATGTTTGGGCTGTGTTGTCTCATGTTCTATTGACTTCCATATATTTTAGTTGTTTTAAACACTTATTATGAAAATTTGGTATTTAAACTCGTGTTAGAAAATGGTATATTAATAGAAAAAGGGTTATGATCGATGTTTGGGTTGGCTTGCCTAGTAATGTGATAGGCGCCATCATGATCGGGTATTCGGGGTTGTGACAAGTTGGTATCAGAGCCTAGGTTACATAGGTCTCGCGAGTCATGAGCCAGTTTAGTAGAATTTCGCAGATCGGTACGGAGATGTCTGTATTTATCCTCGAGAGGCTGCATGACCTTTAGGAAAAACTCCATATTCTTGAAATTCTTGTCGTGCGAATCTGTTGATCCGAGTACTAAACTTTTATTTTCAATTCTCTCACAGATGGTGAGGACACGTGCTACCGAGCAGGATGGATGACCACCAGTACCACCAGCTGGGGCCACTAGAGGCCGAGGACGCGGTCGAGGCCGTGGTAGGGGCAGAGCAGCTAGGGCAGCACCTGCAGATCCACCAGCTACCCCAATTCCGGATCGGGTCCCAGTTGTGGACACTACAGCAGCACCAGCTCAGGCACCAGCTGTGCCAATTGTGATTCCAGGCCTTCAGAAGGCTTTAGCTCAGATTTTATCAGTGTGTACCGATTTGGCTCAGGCGGTCTCAGTTACTACGGTCGCAGCTACTTCTCAGGCTGGGGGAGGCACCCAATCTCCCGTTTCTCGCACACCTAAGCAGGTTGTGTAGGGACTTCAGACATCGGGGGCACCTCCAGCCCAGCCGGTTGCACCAGCTCAGGAGTATGTGGTACCAGTTATGCCGAACGATGAGCAGCGTCGATTAGAGAGGTTTGGTAGACTCCAGCTTCTGACCTTCAGTGGTGCAAAGGGAGAGGATGCCCACGGTTTCTTAGATAAGTGCTAGAGGATGCTTCGTATAGCGGGTATTCTGGAGACCAGTGGTGTAGCATTAACTACATTTCAGTTTTCTGGGGCTGCCTTCACTTGGTGGGAGGCGTATGAGAGGCGTAGGCCTGTTGGTGTAGCGCCCCTTACCTGGCAGCAGTTCTCTGTTCTCTTTCTGGAGAAGTATGTGCCACAATCTTGCCGAGAGGAGCTGCGCAGGCAGTTCGAGTAGTTGCATTAGGGAGAGATGACTGTGACGCTGTATGAGATGCGGTTCTCTGAGTTAGCTCGTCATGCGGTCTGGTTAGTTCCCACAGATCGAGAGAGGATCAGGAGATTTGTTGATGGCCTCACATATCAGCTTCAGATTCTTATGATTAGGGAGAGGGTGATAGGTGCTACTTTCAAGGAGGTTGTTGACATCGCCCATGAGATTGAGTCGGTTCTTCACCAGGAGTGAGAGGAGAGGGAGGCTAAGAGGCCTCGGGGATCTGGTAGCTTTAGTAGTGCTCCTTCGAGGGGTCAGTTCCAGTAGGGCAAAGGCCGTCCATGTAGGCAGACTCAATCAGCTCGCCCAGGTTATCCTGGGGCATCATCGGGTCATGGTTCTCACAGTTCTTGTGAGCACGTGATTTTTGCTTCACGGAAACTACTCCAAAAGAAATCGAAAAAGAAATAAAACAAGTAACCTTCGGGTACAATTTTGAGAATTTGTGTGACATTTTGATATTGTTCTGTCCATAAATGCTTGCCTTGTTATAGTTAAAGATACAAAAATACATGTTGCATGCATTTAGGAAAAATGGTATATTTAGGAATTAATTAACCATTATTTGGTTTTAAAAGCGAAAACCACAAAAAATATGCATTTTTATTCTATTTATTGTCATGGTAATTTTATTAAATGTTTTAATTCGTGCGATAATTGTTGTTAGGTGTTAATTAATATTGGGGTAGTTTAATTTTGGTTTTTAGGAATTTTGTTTAATTATAACGAAAGAAAATACCGGATTTGGGCCAAAATTCAACTGAAAATCAGGCCCAAACCAATTACAACGACCCAGTCCAAACTAGATCTCAAGGACCTCCCCAAATGACGTCGTTCTAGCCTATCAGATATGGACCGTTGATCAAACAGATCTAACGGTCCAGCTCACCTCCCGTCTAAATTGAAACGACGCCGTTTAGGTGCGTCTAATCAGAGCCGTTCATTTCATTTAATCCAACGGACTCAAACCACCCCCAGATGCCCGACCCATTTGGCCCCGGACCAGCCCGACCTCCTTTTAAGTGGAACGACACCGTTCCCTTTAAGTGAAGGGATCCTGGCCCTCGATTTCACCTGATCCAACGGCCAGGATCCATTTTCCCCCTCCGTATATAAGGCCCCACCCCTTTACCCACGCCTCCAAACCAAACCACCCCTCGCCTACTGTGCACCATCATCCCAGAGACGAACCCAAACCCCCCGTTCCAAACCCTAGCCGCCACCATACACTTTCACCGTAAACCCGGCAACCACGACGCCGGTGACCACCAAAATAACACCCCTGATGCACCCAACCACCCTGAACACGAATCCATTAGCAGCTTGCCTCGAATCATTCCCCATCGTCTCGAATCTTTGTTTGAAGATTCGAGCAAAACCCCGATCTACACCAACCCACCCCAGATTCACACCGGTCAATACCCTGGCTTCACTCGTGACCAAATCAAGTTTGGTTTGGTCCGAATCTACCCACAAACCCTCAAGCCCCAAATCGGACTGTTCAAACCCTAGAGCACAAGAACTTTGGGAATCCGACCAGTTTAAACGGAGGGTTGGGGTCTAATAGACCTTAATCGAAGTGTTCTCGATTGAGAACACCTCGATTAAAGTCTGTTCGACCTCAAATGGTTAAATCCAGTCAAAACTTGGGTCGTTTGTTGTTGAGCTTCCAGAGTGAGTTTTCTTTTTCTTTTCTGTTTCTTGTTTGAATGTTGTTTGAGTTTGTTAACATGTTTAGTTAGTTTGTTGATATTTCTGATATGTTCTTTCAATTTCCTCCGTCTTCGTAAGACCTTTTTATTTGGTCGACTATTCTTCTGTTTATTGTTAAATATGTATGGTGATATACATACTCGATTTGATCAGTGTCGTCAAGTGTTCCATTTATGCTGTTCCTCTGTTTTGTGCAAAGTTATCTGAAGCCATTTGGGACCCTGTTCATATTATTTGTTTATCGACTGATTGTTCTATGTTATAATTAGTATAGTCGATTAGATAAACGTCGTCGATTAGTTTTACAAGGCTGAATGTTCAAATGGTCTGTTTTTGATAAACCTCACATGTTTGATCAAACCATTGTAATTTAGCTGATTATTTGAATTTAGCTATGAATGGTTTATGGTTGCAGTGAACTTAGGAAATGGTTAGAAGTCAGTCTTGGGCAGTTGTTGAGTTTGAACTTCCATAAGTTCAAACTTTAGGTTGCTGAAGCTCAGTTTAAAACAGTAATAATCAGGGGTTAAAAGGGGTAGTTTGGGGTTTGAAAAGATCAGAAAATGGTCAGTTTAAGTTGGGCTGACAGTAGGGTACTGAAATATGATTAAACTAATACAATAGTGGGGAACAAAACTTGATAGCATGGGGTAATTGAATATTATAGTCTCCCCATACCTCCTGGGTACAAAAACCCATGAGAGGGCTGTCAGGAGGATGGGCATTGTCGATTAGTTTAAAGGGGTAAGGGCTGAAGGGATCAAGAGAGCCTGGTGCTTGCCTACTTTGCTTATAAATAGGTTGGTTTTAGAACAAAAGGCGACAGTTTTGTTTGCTGGCTGGACAGTTTTAAGTGTTGATAGAAAATAAAAGCAAAAACAAGGCTGTTCTTCCAACCTTTAGAGGATAGGCTGTTTCAGAGTAATAGAGAGCTAAGAGTGTGCTGGATTTTTGAACATAACAATCAGAAGCTACTGCTTTTCTACATCTGCTTCCTTCTCTGCTTAGCCTGTATTTGTTTTGATGCTGCTGGGGTGCAAACTGGGTCCTTTACTTGTTGAACACTGTTTCAGTTGAGTGTTCTTGGCTTTCTGTTGGTCTGAAAGTTCACTGGACTTCTGTTTGGTTTAAATCTGTTGCTGGTTCCTCCTACTGGGTATTATTGGATTTTGTTTTGCTGGGTTTGCTGTTGGTAACAAAAAATCTGACTGCTGGGGTTGTGTTGCTGTTTTCTGTTGCTGTTGTTGCTGTGTATGCTACTGCTGCACTGATCATTCCTCTTCTTCTTTTGCTTTCCTATACCAGGTACACAACAGATACATTGGTCAATGTAGGCTGAAATTTGAAGCATGAATACAAAAAATGAAGAGTTGAAATTATTTTGAATTCATTTTAGAAATATACTGAACAATAATTGTATGTATGATAGTTTACCTTCTCTACTAGAACCATGAAGTTAGCTGTGATGTAACTCAACCTTTATACATATCATTTAGTTGGAGAACTCTATGTTTTGCTTATAATTAAAAAGGACTAATGTTGTAGTAGCCATGTTCTGTTAGTTCATCATTGTTGTCAAGAAGCATGTTAGGTATCCAATAGTTACTTCTTTAAACAAATGGCCTGTTTTTTTTTCTCAAATTGGTAGGAATATGGCTTGATCAGACAAGCGGTACTTTACATTTCAGCCCCCTTATAAATGTCAAACATATACAAAATAGGTTAACTAGGCCCAATTGGAATAAGGATGGCCCAGGTCCAGTCCATACAGTGTGCTCTGGGCCTGGGCCCATAATATCTAAACGACTGCCCAGACACGCGTTCATGTTTCGGATTTGGGCAAATCACATTCGGAACCCGACTATAACTAACTTGTAAGCATGTAAATAAAGTTGGACCGTTCTTCTTCTTTCATTATTATAGACAAACTCAATAGAGTACATAGCCACTATAGGATGACCTTTTAAATAAAAATGAGACGAGCCTCGCCAAATAAATCACACATCGCTGGGGCCCTCAATAAATACATAACCATTGACTAGACTTTGGATTTCGCCGTTTAGTGAATTTTTCACGGCCTTTTTCTAAAACAACAATACGTAGTTTCTTTAGGACGCGTCTTAATTAATCTTACCTTCTTAAATATGGGTGTGCATTTGTGTGACCCAAATCCAAATCTCAACGGAGTCGAAATGTGTCTCTTATCACGGGTACATTGATTGTGACANCCATCCTGATGCATCTTACTTGCTGCTACTTGTGCATTTATTTGATTCAGACTTGTGTGTTGACTGACTTTTTGAATATCAGGAATATTGTGAAATTGAGGAAAAGAAAAAAAAAGGAAATAGCGTTTAGGGAGTTAATTGTTTATTTTTGAAAAAAACACAATGCCCAAATATTGTCGAAACTTTGCCGAAATTTTGAGAAAACGGAAAAAATGTTTTATTAGTTTGTTTTAGTAAAAGCAAAGGAAAAATAGAAAAAAAGTCGTTGTTCTGTCTTCAAAAATAGAAAGGGAAAATAGTTTGTCTTCCCATG